GTCGTCGTCGTAGTCGTCGTCGTAGTCGTAGTGGTCGTAGTGGTTGTTGTTGTTGTTGTTGTTGTTGGTGTTGGTGTTGGTGTTGGTGTTGGTGTTGGTGTTGGTGTTGGTGTTGGTGTTGGTGTCGTTGTTGTTGTTGTTGTTGTTGTTGTTGTTGTTGTTGTTGTTGTTGTTGTTGTTTGTTGTTGTTGCTGTTGTTGCTGTTGTTGCTGTTGTTGTTAGTGTTGTTGTGGTGGTGGTTCGTTGTTATTATGTAGTACCCTATGATGCCTATGATGTGTACTATTCTTTCTTGGTACACATCTTGCCCCATCTATGTGACGACTCAGCGAGCCTCTAGATTATGGCTTTGGCTCTGGAATTGTCGGCTATGAGGGTTCAAGGTGATAGGTTTCCCATGCAGTTGTCGTCTCTATGGGTCTGGTCGCAAGTAAGGGTCTTTGAGACTACAGCTTCGAAGCTTTGTGAGTCTCTTAGATGAAAAAGCAACATCCATAAGCGATGCCCAACGTTCCACCAGGACGTGATGCAGTTTCTGATGTAACCCTTGGTGTTCGGGGTTTAAGGTTTAGGGCTCAGATGCTGGAAGCATGATGTATGTTCGGGTGTTCCATTGATAGTATGTTTCTAAATTTGTGGCTCATGTAGGTTCTCGTCAAAGCAGACGGGGTTATCTGGTGGGACATAGAAGTAAGTATGAATTTAAGGTGTCTCCTACAGATGGGAGAGGGTTAAACGCCGTTCACAATGAGGTCGGAACAGGTAATCATACTGCCTGGGTATATAGTCTCTATAGAGTTTCTTATTGTAGTCCATCCTAAAACCCCGTTCTAATTGGTAAGGCCCCTTTGTAAAGCCCTCAAGAGCATTGCGACAACTCTATGAAACCCATGAAGCAAACCCAAGACTATCTACTTAAGCCCCAAATTAGGCAGTGCTTTTCCGGTTCATCAGAAGCTTTGACTGCCAGACTTAAACAGCTTTGAGGCTGCAGCAAGCGAAACCTAGGGTTTAGTGTTGGGGGATTAAGGGCTTGGGGCTTTAAGGCTTATAGGGTTTAGGGTTAAGGGCTTTAAGGTTTAGGATGGTTTAGGACTTCAGGGTTTGGGGCTAGGGTTTAGTGCGTAGGGTGCAGAGTCTCCGGCTTTAGGGTTCATACCTTAAGGACGAAATGAACCCTGAAAGGGTTTAGGGTTCATAGGGATTCCTAGTATAAGGGTATAGCGCCCCTACTTTTAAGAGTCATTTCGTCCTTAAGGTAGTTTAGTGTATCGGGGTTGTAGAATTGAGGGTTTAGTTCGAGGGTGTCGAATGGTGAATCGCATGGAGCCGCACAAAGGAACTCCTTGTCAAGAAGCCTGTAGCTATGTACCCCTTTGCAAGCCAGTTTGTAGCTGGTTGTAAAACTGGGTACCTTATCTGGGGGCTGTTGACAATAAGGATCTCAAGTATCAGACCTTCGTAAACCTTTTCTCTGAATCTCCCAGATCGCTCAGCGCTCAGCGCCCAGAACTGGTTGCCCGAATGCAATCCAAGAACAAATCTGTCACAAACCCTAAACCCTAAACCCCCTTAAGCACGAATCCGAAACCTAACATCCTGCAGCCCTGAACCCACAGCGCACGCCCTGCAGGGACGCGCATCCAACCTGCCAATAAGCGCCTTGCTCGGTGACCTGGCTTTGGTTTAGGGTTTAGGGTTTAGGGTTTAGGAAGAGATCTGCAGTGCGTTAGGGTTGAGAAATGCAGGAAGTTGTTTGAAGTGTTGGTGTGTGGTTGTGGTTTGTGTGCAGAGAGGTGCTTTCAGAAAATGAGGTGATGCTGTCTGCGGATTGTCGATCGAAATTTCAGCACTTCCGATTGTGGCGGTTAGCCCCAAACTCTAAACCCAATATAAACCACAAGCCCTAAAAAAACCAAGCCCAATATAAACACTAAGCCCAATATGAACCCTAAACCCTGAACCGATCATGAACCCCAAGCCCTAAACCCCTAAACGCAATATACACCCTAAACCCCTCAACATATGGCAGCCTGACATCGTCGCTCGGGCGTCGTGTAAAGGACCCTAAACCCTAAACCCCTAAACCCTAAACCCTAAACCCTAAACCCTAAACCCTAAACCCCTAAACCCTAAACCCTAAGGTCGCTATCACAAGAATCCTCAGCCAGACTATAGGACCCCACCCAAAATGCCCTTTTAACAGAGCCCTCATGGTCCTTATAATCATGGGTATTTGAGGTTTCTTAGAAGGTAGTTGGGGGTCTAGGTAGGCTTAAACCCCAAACCCTAAACCCTATAAGGTCTTTAGAGATTTGGGGTTTGGGTCATTCGGGCCTTCGAGTCTAGGGCTTTGGGAACGTAGGGCTGACGTTTTGAGGGGTTTAGGGTTTAGGGTTTTGCTTTTGCTTAGGGTTTCGGGCTTAGGGTTTAGGGCTTTCGGGCTTCAGGGTTCGAAGTTAGGGCCCTAGGGCTGCAGGCTATGAGTCCTTTCGAAACGCCTGCGACGGTGTGAGGCAGATGTCCGTGAATCTTCATTCCTGAACCCTAAGGGTCCATGTGGTCATATAGTATATACATTGGCCTTCATGTAGTCCCTATATAGGTACTTTAGGGCCCATGTATAACCTATATGAGTACATAGACCCTTAGGGGAATCTCCGAAACAGTAAAGCCCTGCGCCTAAGTGTTCCCGACTGACAGGTAGGAGGGTGCCCGGTTCAAGTGTTGGGGTTCGCACCCTCAGTCCAGGCAAGCTGAGGGTATTTTAGGGTTTAGGGTATGTCGCGGCGGCGATACTGCCACTGAAACTCGGGTCGGGTCGCAGCTTCCGTCGCGGCGTGGGGCGAAGTGTCTTTGCGAACGCATCGATTCAGCCTGCGCCGGCTTCTGTTTCACAACTGTCTCGAAACTGGCTCGTCCATTGCTGGGCTCTGCAAGTTTAACGTCAGGCCCTTAACGTCCGTTCGAACCCTGCCGCACTGGCTTTTAAGTCGCACTGGGCTTGCCTCTGCGTCCCAAAACCTGTCTGGTGCTTAGTAGGGAATGGAGGAATGGATCCCTATGATAGTCCCTTGAGGTCCCTTATAGTAGTCCCTATAACCCATTCCCCCATTCCCTACTAAGCACCAGACAGAAAAGGCGACCACATGATCGGTGACTTCGAACCCCTGCTTTACAACTCCATCCAGGAGGAGTGCCCTGGCAATTATTGTTAGACTGCGGAAGCTCTCTTTTAGTTATAGGATCCATATAGGGGTCCTTTATGTAAGTCTTATATGGTCGGAAAAATCTTCCAAAGTGCTGAACTTAAAGCTTTTTCTGCTTGAAAGATGGGTTTGGGATTTTGGAGGCCGAACCAGCTTGTGCTGGGGCTGTTCCCCTACTCCATCAGGAGGGGGTTAGAAAGGCAACTCTGGGTTAAGGGTTTAGGGGCCTAGGCGAAAAGGGTTAGTTTCTATGTGCAATGCTGCAATGTCTCGTGCATCCCCCTGAAGATCGTAAAGCCGACGCTGTCGCGATGCGAAGGCCAGCAAGCCAGTCGAGGAACTCCTCTTTGCTGTGTTGGCTTTAAAACTTATCGATTGAACATCTGGCGCTTTGACTCTCACTTCGACGTCAAGCAGGGTCATCTCTGGGGTTTAGGGTTTAGGGTCTGGACCCCGACTATCGTTTCATTCGACTGAGGCGGTAAGCCCCTAAACCCGAATCCACAATCTTCCCTAAGCCTCATGGGGCGGCCTGAACCGAATGGGAGGTTTTGGGGGTTTAGGGTTTAGGGTCTAGGGATTCAAGATTGAGCTGAAACCTTCAACGGCCCTGAGAACCTTCCCCCTCCCTGGCCCCTTCCCTGCTCACGGCCCTAGCATAAGGCTGATGAAGGTCTTGTCCAGGGGTTGATTGCAGTCTTAGTGCACAGATATATATATGTATATACCATAGTATAATATAGAATATAATATATTTTAATGTAATGTCATGTAATATAATATAATAAAATAAAATATAATATAATATAATATAATATAATATAATATAATATAATATAATATAATATTACATATATATATATATACATATATATATATATACATATACATCTATCTATGGTTCTGTGTATTGGAGGATCAAAACCACGCAGCAGTGGACTGTCTAAACCCTAAGCCCTCAACCCGAACAGGTCCTTACATACCACCTGCCTGCAGTACCCGGTCCCAATGGTCCCAATGCGATAAGCAGCAAGCTACCTACGCGTGATACTGGCAAACTCCCACACCTAAAACCGCTAACTTCATGTAGGGGTCGGGATAGTCGGTAATTCTATCTCCTCCCTATACAACTAGAGTATATGAAGCAACTATTCAGGCCCCTCTCTGAAGCCCCATAATCTTCATGCCGAACGCCATCGCTCAAAGTTGCACAGCCTTATCGCTTTGCCTTAAAAGGAGATACTTACACAGTGCACTAACCAAGACTATGTTCTAAGTTCCAAACCCTTAAACCTCAAATCCTCACCTAGATTGTTCGCTTTTTTGACTACCGGAATTGACGACTAATTCTGTATCAGTGGCGCTAAGGCTCACCAGGTTGAAGATGACCAGTCCGGTTCCTGTTCGAGCCGCCTGATGTTCTCCGGCTCGGGGGGGATCAGGCTTCTGGTCACCTGCGTGTGTGGCGAGGTCTACCGTGTTCTAAGCTTACATCGAATTTGGTGGGTAATAACAAGTTGCTGGCTCATCATCGCCCACCACACTTGCATAATCCAGCAGCAGCGGCAGCAGAAGCAGCAGCCTCGGCCCGTCCCCCCACCCCCCTCCCCTCCCGCCACACGTATTAACAGCACAGCGATCGAAATCGACACGATATCGTGTTAATTTAGAATTCTCTCAAGACGTCAGTGCAACACCAACGCACACTCACAAAAGCAAAAAGCAAAATTCAACAAGCCAACCAACCAATAGAACCACAAAGATACGGTTCGTGGTTGGAAGGATCAGAGACTTTTGGACATCAAGCTCTCCTAGACCCTCCATCGACCCTCGATTAGACCCTAAGCACCCATTATTTGGGACCATATACCCCTATTTGAGGGTACAAGGCGGGTCATCGTTGTGTTTGGGCACTGCCATTTGTCTGTCCCTCTACCGAGGTGGCTGCCTGAGGTGGCCTCTGTCCGTTCCCGTCGCGACAAGCAGAGCAGTCGCGTGTGATTTACTGATCTATCTGCCAGCTCGCCCTAAACCTGCAGCTTCGAAGCCAGATTCCCTGGCATCCTTCTGGGTTTGAGGATTTTGGATCTAAGGGTTAGGGATGGTTCTATCGGCATGTAGGGCTGAGAGAGGGGAATGCGTGTTTCCCATACTTGGAGGGTCGGGAGACTCCAAGTAAGGAGCTCCGTCGCTAGACCCTTCACCCTAAGGCCCTAAGCGCTCAGCTCCCCGAGCAGGCCGAGGTACACCTTCAGCACGATATGGGGGTTTCCGAAAATAGGGGACCCTATTATAGTACCCTAAATAGTAGGATCCTTATTATAAGGACCCCCAAAATAATGGGGGCCCCTAATTATCGGAAACCACCATATCATAAGAGCAGCATAGCAACAGTATTATTCCTCTGGCACCCCCCATCTGCACCGATCATCCTCCAAGCCGGGTTTAGGGTTTAGGGTT